TTAATTAAAACTTAAGAATTTTCTCTGTGTACTCATCACTTCCCTGTTTTTTCGCTGATGTTATTTAATAAACAGCAGAAAACTTCAGACCAAGACAGAGCTTGCATCAGTGGATTAAAGTTATACACATTTATATGTAGTCATTGTTTTCTTGTATAAAACAATGACTAACACATCTGAAAGTGAGTAAAATAAACTGGCAGTGACAATGAAGCAAATATTCTGGAAAGATTTAAAAATAGGTTGGACAGATGCAGGAGTGAAAGCGATTAAATGTAGATACAACTAGCCTCGCATGGGCCAGTAGGTCAGCTGCTGTGAAACCTCTGGTCTTATCACCCCTATTCATAAAACACGATAATGCGTTACAAGCAAGGAATCGATGTTTAAATATGAATCTCGTCTAATAAAACTGTTTCTTCTGATTGTTAATCCAGGACACCTTAGAGAGCCAGGCAGTGTGACTATTTCCACTGGGACTTGCCTGGGCTAGTAGGGCTACTGTAGTGCTCTTCTATTCTTATGGCTCTTTGGCTCTCTTTCCCAATATGAGACACAGAACAGTCGTGTAATACCTAGATCCCTGTTTACTACTAGGTGAACATGGGCAGCAAGTGTAATGACACTTGCCCACGCTACTCGATTCGCCTTAAGTGAACCCAGATCCGTTCGTCTGTGAGCCGAACACGCTACCACTATTCCAACTACAGTATTAGGTGTGATACCTAATATGTCTGGCTTTTTTACTAGGTAGAACATTGCACGTTTAATAAGCTGCAGCTTTGGCAATGCTTGACCCGGCAATCAACAGGGTAATCGGGCCTGGGACCAGTACGATAGGCATACTGATAATGTTTATAAAGCTTGTTATTAACAGCAATACCCACGACTAATTAATTAAGTGAAATGATGTCAAACTTATCATCAAGGAAGAGGATTTACATAAACGCCGTTTATTAGAATCTGCAGTCATTTGTCCAGCCAACAGTAGTCTAGAAATTAGAAGTCGAAAAAATTTGCACAGTTTTAGCTAAACTGATTTTTGGGCCGTCAAATTATGTTAATAGCCATTTTGTGCACCCAGCATACACAAGTGATCCCCACGCTACTGTATATTTCCCTATTTTTTTCTACTGGACTGATAGAGCCATTATAAAGTTAGCTAACGTTGAACAAGCGCTTCATTTATACCTATACAGAACCATGAAAAATTCTACTAAGCCCTAACCAGCTTTTAGGTATCCGTGTTGGCAACACCAGAACAAGTGTAAACTATTGTACATTACTACAAAATTTATGACTACTTCATAGTTACTTAAAAGCAGCTAGAAATTTTTACAGATAATCATAGAAATTGTATATGCACACGGTATATATTTATTTCTAGTCACTGTTCAACACCTCAAGGTCTGCGATCTTTTGAATTTGCAGACAAGAGCATATTTTGCTATCATGATCAAAAACTCCATTACCTTGTAGCCATCAGAGCTTTTGCAGAATCTAGTTACATAGATGAGTAATTATGGGAAGTGGATCCCGCCTCCCATTCTCATGATGTGGCGGACTGATAACCCAGATAGCAAATGAAGTTGGACGCCTGGTCACAGTGCCATATTTTGCTCCCATTGCTAACATTTTTAATCAGTGAAATATAGTTATGCATTGTTTAAAGATGGGTTTGGTTAATTAAATTTGTCTATCTGAAGTAAATTTTAAGCAAGGCTTTGCTGCTAGATTAATTCTGGTCCAAATTTAAAAAAAAATAATAGTAGTATATAAAAAAAATCGTACAAATTTATTTAAATTTTTCTTCGGAGGTGAATCCTCAGATGATCCACTTCATTAACTTAAAACAAGAGAATGTATTTTCGCTACGGGATTCGTAAATGGCGCAAAAGAAAGAAAAAAAAGATAAATGGATGGGGATTACATGCATTTCATGCTGCTGCCAATGTTGAGCTTTTACAGTAATAAATTCTGATTCAATGTAAAAAATAAAGATGTTACACTACAATTAGAGATAACATAATTTAGAAACATTATAAGTTAACTTAAGTCAACAAACAACAAATATTACTGTGATTGCCAAAAATGCTGCATCATTAACTAAATGTTGATGGTAAAACATGTACATTTTACACACACACACACACACACACACACACACACACACACACACACACACACACACACACACACACACACAGGGTTATACTTCAATTTATAAAGTAAATTACTAGTTACAAGTTAAATGTTGCAGTAATTTGCAAGTGACTGAGTGCGTCATTTTCGTCGAAGATGAGACTAAAGGCTTTCTCGAATCACAGCTCAAAAACAAATCCTGTATCCTATAGGATCTCTAACCTGACCTAATATACCGAATATATGTTATATTATTTTATGCTAATCTAGTGAGGATCAGTGAGCGCAAAGTGTGGTAGAGGGTCGATCATTCATCTGCTAATTGCAAGATAAATCTCTGCTCTCGTAACCAAGACAAGGAATGGGAATGAGACCATAAAACAGATAAGCTGATAAAAAAAGACAAAATAAAAAAGCTTGGCCTTCAAGCGAAAAGTCTTAAAGGTTTTCATTCGGCCATAATGACTTTTATTAAGAGAAGAAATCTTAAGAATAGATGAACACTTCAAAAGTTCAATGCTAGGCAGTTCTTGCTCACACAACCATATATTTTCCTAACCTATTTGTAGAGCACGTGTCAAGATTGTCACAATTCCCCAAGCTTTATTCATTTCTTGCTGCAATGAAATTGAGTTTGGAGAAAATGTTACCCCCACTTCTACTGGAAAGTTCAAAATTTAAAATGTCTCAGCTTTGTTTCTGTAACTCCTCAGATACTGGTTTACAAGTGCATCCCAAAAGTAAACTCATTCATTAATGCATGTGATATTAACCACACCCACACTCATCCAGGCATATCCATACTTGTGCTTGGTTATATAAGAGTATAAGAAACAACACTGAAACAGGCCTATTGGCACATTCGAGGCAGGTCCAAGTCACCCGCCGGCCCAAGCTATTGGCCAAAGCCAGTCAGGTGCATGGCACATTCCCTCAAAAACGATATAGCACTGAATCAGACCCACTACGCAAGCCAGTCAGGTCCAACTCGCACCCACATGTATTTGTCTAACCTGTTTTTAAAACTACACAAGGCTTCAGCTTCAATGACGGTACTCGGGAGTTTGTTCCATTCGTCCACAACTCTTTATTACCAAACCTGTACATGTACTAAAATTCTTTCTGAACCTACATTTTTCCAACTTAAAACCATTGCTGCGAGTCCTATCTTGGTTAGATACCTTTAGCACGTTATTTACATCCCCTATATTTATTCCTGTTTTCCATTTATATACCTCAAACATAACCCGATTAAAAAAAAAGTCAGGAACATAGAAAAAGTGAAGGGCATAGGCCGGACTAACTCCAACCCTAGCATTTCCACTGTGCTTTTGTATTTTGAAATACATATTAAAAAAAAAACGCAATATGCAGTGTCTACAGCAGCGAAGTCTAAAGCAACAAATCGTTAAATACCGGGAGACACCAAAGTTACCGGGTACACACCTCCATGGCTTGAGCGTGCGGCTGCTGCAACACTGAGGTGGACGTGCTGACCCAATCCTTGACCCCTGCTTACTGACCTTGTACACCCCAGCTAACCCTACAACTCACCCCTACAACACCAGTTCACGGTTTATCACATGCATACCGCATATCAGTCCACGCTTCGCCATATTTGCCAAGTTACTTTGACAGATTTAAAGTTTGTCGAAGACATGTGCTTCTTGAAAGATGAAATTCACCAGAAATTATCAATAACATTTTCCAAAAATCCAGATTAAAATAAACTCTCGGTGTGCGTGTGTGTGTGTGTGTGTGTGTGTGTGTGTGTGTGTGTGTGTGTGTGTGTGTGTGTATATATATATTATATAATATATATATATATATATATATTATATATATATATATATATATATATATATATATATATATTAATATGCATGCCAATAAATAAAGAAAAGTGAGGAGAGTTCAAGGTTATTAATTCACTAAGGACACTGGGAAACGTGTTGCACGTGTTTTTTCTCACAGTCTATAGGTATTGATATACCTGGTACTTCTACTCCAAATATACAATATAAGAATTGTGGAAAACTGCACTTGGCTTCCTAGTAACAGATACTAGACAGGTCCAAGACCAGATAGAAAGTCCTGGTGATTAAAGTCTTAATAAAAGTCCCCCATATACTGGAAGTCTTCTTTATATATTTGTGGGAACAAATTACCTTGTGCGATTAAGGCTTAGGTTGGCTTACAACATTAGTTAGGGTAGGTTGATATGTTTTGCATATCCCTACTCTGATGGATTTAAACGATACAGCAGAACAAACTATCTAAGCTTTCAATGTCTAAGAATCAGGAACTACCAAGAGAATTTGAGTTAGTTTTGAAGCCTTTCGACTGCACGTAAGTCAAGGCTGGATTCCATCTGTACACCAACATCAAGAACATTCAACTTGGAATTGAACTATACATCGAGATATGCACACCTGTATATAATACCATGTACAAGCTCGAGAGATGCTGAGTGCAGCTGTTATAGTGACCTCTGGTGACCCTCGCTAAGTAATGACCTTGCATGTATGATGCATTTAAACTAACTTGGTGACCACAACTAAAGACAGCCAATGACACTGCTAAGCATTGACTTATGGTGATCCTAAGGGGTAGTAACCTTGCGTGTGTGATGCGTTTAAATGTGATAAAACTGGATAAGTTTGCAGATATACAGGAGCAATGAAGAGCGAGTAAGAAGTGACCTTTAGTGACCGCGGCAGGGTGTACCGACCTTGCGTGTGTGACAGATTTATAAACAATGAAAAACAAAATATGCTTGTAAAGACTTTCAGGAACTATCGCGAGCGCTTGAGTGAGACTATGGAGTGACCTTTGGTGACCGTGGCGGGAGTACTGACCTTGCGTGTGTCTGCCGTGTTGGTAGAGGCCAGGTCGCCGCGGCCGGGCGGTGTGCGGCCAGACGCGCGCCCAAGCAACTTTCTCAAGCTCGACTCCACGATCTTGGACGAGATATAAGCTCCCGAACCACTAATATCTATTTCCTCTACGATGGGTGACGCACTCATGCACTCAACTGCACACCCGTGGGCGCACTCAATTTCCAAAGGGTGAAGGCAAGAGTTTGCCTTAACGAGAGCTTTTCCTGGACTTTTATTTTATAAACAAGCTTTCCTTTCCTCTCAAGCTGCAACTTTGCTGCACTTCAACAAAGCTTTCACAATGCACTTAATGGTGGAGCAGCTTACTTTATGCTCCTGGGGGACCTTTGGCTGTCATTTCAATCATATCTGAAACAACTTTTACTGACCTCCATGACTACTGGTAGCACAAGATAGTATATGTAAACTCCAATAAGCTGCCGTTACTTGTGTAATCCACAAAGACTGCCGCACGTCGATGGAACTCATTCATAAATTCTTGTAATGAGGAACCCGTTTCACTGTTTCCAACAGACGTTATTCACCCAGTGCACTAACCTTCAACGCGGGTCACAGTGAAATTCAATACAAGCCATAACACACCATGGGGTCGAAATTCTATCAATGCTTCGTAGAATTTAAGTGATATTACCGTTCTGTGCACAGTATGTTATTTGATTCTATTTATGAAGCTCTACAAGAAACAATAAACACCACACTTGCAAAATATTTTCAAGCTTGGTGTACATCCAACTGGTGCAGAGAGCCTTGTGGTGGGAGAGTGCAGTAGTGTAACGTCCACCCCCCAGCACCGTCACGTGTGAACTGCAAACCTAGACTCGAAATGACTCGCTGGAGGCTGAGCAGCAAACAGTTGCCAGTTGGTACATTTTCACACTCGGTGTGACTGTTCCTTTGTTATTTCGGATATATTTTTTTCTTTTCGATTAACACATGATATCATTGTATCACTTAAAATAAAACTAAGAAATTTGTTGAAAGACAGTTCTCGAAATTACATTTTTGCTGTTAATATGGCAACAGCCACGAGCGACCCCAGCCTTCGACGGCGACATGGTTGCCATATAGCTCAAGATATCTGGCTCCATATCTAAATTCTAAATCATAACTTTGCTTTCTAAATTCAATGACGTACACATAATAACTATAGCCTGAAATATCTTGCGATAATTAATAGCCGTCGGACGAATCCTCAATAGGGCTGCAGCAGTAAGAGAGAAGAATGAGTACAAGGAACCACGCTGAGAATGTGTTCTATGCCATGGCCTACCACGAATGGGAACGGGGGAGCGAGTGCTGAGGAAACCAAGGATACACACACACACACACACACACACACACACACACCACACACACACACACACACACACACACACACACACACACACACACACACGTCACTATCCTTACTATCTCCCTATGAGACTAATTTACCCATACTTCTTAATTCTCATTGCTTCCTTCAGAGATTCTGTAGAAACTTAGCAACAATGATAAATATGGACCAAGGGTTAATAGTACCTATGAAACATCGAGGCGGTCAACACAACCTCGAGAAATCAGTTCTCTCCTAATGCTACTCTATGGCAAAAAAAAAAAAAAGGCTGAAAATTATGAATAATGAAAGTTACACTACCGTGGCTGGAACAGTTAACAAGTATGCCACTAGTCATGACTTTAGATCAAGAACGTTTCATCGGTATCAATGCACCCTTGTAGGGGAAATACTTTAAAAGGTATTCTTGCATGTATTCTTCCACGTCAACACCCGACATTCTTATCCCGCCCAGCGATATACAAATAAATACGAAACTTAACACGAAGAAATCTAGTGCACCACATGCCCAAAAACCTCAAAAGAATGAGATTAATAAATGAATAAATTATTCATTAGATGGTATAGGAGTACCAATAGGTTGTAGACGACAGACAAAGCTGCACAGCAGTTACTGGAAACTATTGAGACAACGTTTCGTCAGCTGACGCAGGAGGTGCTTTCAAGAATAGATTAAAAAAAAAAACCTGTTGTGCAGGCGAAAAGTTGTATGAGTAAGGTTCGCACTTACTATTGTGTGTTTATCATAGACAATAAATTATTGGTTGGGTGACTGCGAGAGTAGCACGTCCTTGCGATGTACGTAAAAGACAAAGTATGTGCATTGATCAAGACGTAAAATAAGGAAACGCCGTGAGTTGCTTCTTCAGCCCTGACTAAAAAAAGTCACTCGCGGCGAAGTATTTCCATAATTAATGTCTTGACCAGTGCATACGTGTCAAAGTGCCAAGTGCCAACTTACAGATACAACGTAGCAGTTCCACCAAACATCCTCGCGATTAGCAGACGGAGAATGGAGCCTTCACTCCTTGTGCTCAAAGATCCACACGAGTTTACCACTCAACATAAATATAATAATTCACTGGAAACGACTATTAAGAATAGTAATTAATAATATGCAAAGATGTGATGTCTTGCTACACAAAACACAAGAACAGAGGAGCACTGAGGTAGTCCTACTGACTACTTACGCTCTCCGAAGAGCGTGAGAAAAATAAGGCACTGCAAAAGGTATACTGTATATATTAATGGTAGAATATACTGACACGTATGTTAATATGACACAATATATGTTTATGACATTTTATTTTTAAGACGTTTCGTGCTGGTCTTGGATCTGGTCGTGGTGGCGATGACTTTCGGAAGTGACTCCAGGTAACTTCCACCAGGGACTATTAATTCACCAAAGGTTTTACCGGTCTATAATATTCAGGTTCAACTTAAAATAACAATTACCACCCATGTATCAGTCCGGTTTACTCTCGTTCGTTCTACTTTCACTCAGTTTACAAACAAATTATCATTTAGTCGACACGTGGATTCACATTTAGCGCTATGAATACAGTAATAATAATAATAATAATAATAATAATAATAATAATAATAATAATAATAATAATAATAATAATAATCAAGCTAACATGTGTATATGTGTATACAAGGCAAAGATACTCAGATTCAGACATTTATTTACTTTATGTGAAGTAGAAAAATCGTAAGGGTCATTCAGCTGATGGAGTGGTGGAGGCCTTGAGCCTTCATCAGTTAATCCGGAAACTGTCCTTTAATTTTTGTGTATACCCTCTGCAGGGTGTGAGTTAGACCTGCCTACCAGGGACCAGTAAGACTACTTTATTTTCTCTCCTCTTATAAGCTCAAAAGAGTTGACAATAATGTAAAAATAAGAAGTGGTCAGAACCCCCGTGGGACGCACTAGTCGAGTAGGCTTCCATATATAAAATTTTGAAATAAACCTGGAAAATCTGCTGCAAGTTGGATGGATGGCTAAAACGAAAGTAAAACCTTCACAATAGGATTGGTAGGGAGGGATGGGACGGGAGGGATTAACGGACAGGGGAGGCAGGAGAGACCGAAGGATGGGCGGAGGGAGGGAGGAGAGGCGTAAGGAAGAGGGGAGGAATGGAGGGCCACAGAAAAGGGAGGGTGGAGTAATGAAGAACACAGGGGATGAGGAGGCAGGAAAGAGGCCTTTAAGGGGGGACGAAAAGAAAGAAATAGAGGCAGAGGGAATGCAGGGCTAAGAACGGTAAGGTAGGGGAGGGAGCCGAGGGAAGGGAAGGTGGCGGATGGAGAGAAGGGACAGGAAAGTAAGAGGAATTACTGCAACAATTAATTTATACTCAACTTGTTTATCAAAACTATAGTTGCTCTGCCTTGGGCCAGGCTCGTCTTGTGCTTGCCTGGTCAACTAGGCTGTTGCTGTTGGTGGCCCGCTCACCCACATATCCATCACAGCCTGGTTGATCTTGCACCTGGTGAAGATATTTGTCCAGTTTCCTCTTGAAGACTTCTACACCTGTTACAGCAGTGTTTCCGAAATCTTACAGTAAGATGTTGAACAGTCTAAGGCAACGGACGATGATAGTGTTCCTTTATTATGCACACTTCGACTCTGCTTGTCATGGGGTTTATTTTGCACTTCCTCCCATATCTCATTTCAGTATGTTATGGCAGTGTGCAGATTTACGACAAGGCTCTCAAGTATTTTCCAGGTATATATTATCATGTATCTCTTTGTACTCCGCTCCAGTGTGTAAATATTTACGACTTTAAGCGTTCCCAGTAATTTAAATGTTGTACTGGCTCTATGCGGATCGTAAACGATCTCTGCATCTGTTCCAGATCTGATCTCTTCTCTCTCTGTCTCTCTCTCTTCCTGATCCCAGTGGGATCAGAGACCTTGGGATCATGGGAAAAAAATGCCACACGTTTCCTTTAAGAATTGGGTTCCAGACTCATCGACACCACCAGGGACCCAAGGGCAGCCACTTTCCTGTTCCAGCACCTCAGCGTGGCCATCCAGAGAGGAAGTGCTTGCTGCATACTTGGCTCGCGTCCGGTTTCGGAGAAGCTGGAGAAGATTCATAATCTTTGATATATTGATATATTCATGTTTGTGTTTTCTGTAAATGTATTCTGTCTATTAATAAAATTTCCCAAAGAATATAAAATATAGGGGGTAGTAGAAGAAAATATTCAAACAGCTCCGGGGAGAACCTTGAGTTTTCCCTGAGGTACGTTTATTGTCTTCTCTGAGGATGAGGGTCCCCATTCCAGTTACAGAGATGGTACCTCCCTATCTATCTATCTATCTATATATATATATATACACGCACGCACACAAGCACACGCGAGGGATGAACAAAAGTTCTCAGACTTAGCCTATATTTTAAAGAATAGTCTGCAAACAATTTTATGATCTGTTTCCTTAAAAGTAATCTTCCATAAATGATATGTACTTGCCTCAACGTTTCTGTCACTTTCGTGAGCAATGTGAGGAATACCTTAGGGTATCCTTCCAGTATCCTTCCATGTAAGGAATACCATCAGAGGTACTCTGAGGAATTCCTCACAGGGACGCGAGTTTTTGTGAGTTAAAGTGTCACAATCTTATAGATGGTTAAAATATCATAACATTTCCTTCTTTTCAGCTTCATTTTAATTTTCGGGAGCAGAGAAGACACATGGAGACAAGGTCAAGTTAATACGGAGGGTGTGGTATCACAGAAGTATTTCTCCAGCCAAAAATGTTTGAAGACAGCAGCGTGTGAGAGAGCGTCGTGATGGTGCATGCAGGGACTGATGTGTGACTAAAACATCAATACAACTTAAGGCAACGTGCTTGGATTGAAGAAAAAATTCTGGTAGCGATTTAATAAGATTTATTTGGAGAAGCGTTAGAGATGGTGATTTCGAACAGGGTAGTTTCCTATGGTGCAGATCCCCTCAAGGAAGGTTCCTTGATGTTGGTGAGGGGCTCTTGATTTAGGGAATTGGATCTGTGCTCCAGTTCCCCGAATTAAGCCTGAATGCCTTCCACATCCCCCCCCAGGCGCTGTATAATCCTCCGGGTTTAGCGCTTCCCCTTTGATTATAATAATAATTCCTATGGTGCAGGAAAGTGTCGCTGTTGTCTCATTTGACATAGTTCGTGTATCTGGTTCATTTGGAGGTCACTTCCAGTTTTTATGTTCCATTTGGTGGAATGCTCACCAATACTGAAGAAAGTTTAGAGGGCTTCTGTACAAGGATTAAGATGAGTTTGCCTCGCATATACATTCTCTCTCTCTCTCTCTCTCTCTCTCTCTCTCTCTCTCTCTCTCTCTCTCTCTCTCTCTCTCTCTCTCTCTCTCTCTCTCTCTCGTTAGGAGTACTAGCGACTGAACCAATGACATTAGAATTGCAAGACCACGACTACATCGATGTCACCAAAGAAAGTACAAGAGATTTCCATGTAG